CTGAATCTGCAGATAATTTGGGGAAAACAGCCACATTAACAATACTGAGTCTTCCATCCAGGGAATATATATCCTATTTATTCAGGTATCCTTCAATTTCTCTCCACAAAATTTTGTTGTTTTCAGTCTATAGGACTTAAACTTTTCTTGTTAAATTTAACACGTTTCTTGTTAAACTTGTTCCTATGTTTTGGTCCTTTTGATCCTATTATGAATGGGTTTGTTTATTCTTCACATTTCATAAAAAAGTAATCACACAATGTGTGGCCTATGTGACTATCTTCTTTCACAGCGCAATGTTTTCAAAGTTCTTTCATGCAGTAGTATGTGTCAGTACTTCATTCCTTTTTATTGCCAAGTAATAGTCCATTATACGGATACATCACTTTCATTCATCTACTCAGTTGATAGACCTCAGTTTTCCAAGGGTTTTATGGTTCTTTTAGTAATTTGCTTGAACCTAAACTATAGAATCTGTCTCCTCCATGAAGTGCAATCCTTAATGGCTTTGCTTAGTTTTTAAAATTCTTATTTCTGTTCTTCTGGCCTGGTTCTTTGGGGATTACCTCTGTGTCTGCAGAGTTCAGTGGTCAGCCATGATTTGGGCAAAGGTTGTGCCCAAATACCTTACACCTGATGGAGTTGTAGGTGGGCTGAAGGAGCATTTGAAGTTGTAGTCAGCTGTCAAGTTGTCTCCATTGACTTTCACTTTTTGCTGGGCTCTCTTGAGTATCTATTCCCTGCATGTGCAACGTTTGGCAGTCAGCCACTGCTGCATGGAAGTCTGATGTCAGCCCTGTCATGGTTCTCTCATTTCTGGGATCTCCCTGTTAAATTTCTGGCTAGTGGCCCCAAACCAGGACTGCAAATTTGAATTAGTAAAGCTGCAGGTTTTCCCCTATTCATTATGAACTGAGTACACCACTTTTAGCCAGCAAAGCTGCGGTTTTTTACCCCCATCTCCACTCCAAACTGAAGCCTATTATTTCTGGTAAAAGCCAGAAGCTGGTAAAACTGCAGTTCTCACCAACTGAGATAGGGATTGGGAGATGAAGCTCTGGGCAAGGCCACAAACTCCCACTCTTACTACCCAAAGGTTCAGCATATTTATCATCTGCATTTTTAGTTGGTTTCCAGAACCCAGAAGTGCTTTTGTCAGTCTTGTCCAATTTCATACCTGCTTTACTGAAAAAGAGAACCACCTGTTCTCTTTGCATCATCATTAATTGGAGTGATCTTGGCTATCCATTTATAATTTCTCAATTTCCCATAACATAATCTCTTATAAAAGTAAAGTATGACTGTAATTCCACTTCAAGTACCAAATATATAAATGCTCTCCAAGTCTGACATAAAATCATCATAGCTTGAATATTTTCCATTAACAGAATGGCTCTTCCACACAGTGCCAGCAAACTAGCATTAAAGTACCCAAATAGCCAGATGTTGAGTACTTTTGAGGTTCCTAGGGGATAAACTGATTGCTTGTACTTCAGCCATGGGTCTCGACCACAAAACTCTACTATGATCTACAGATAATAGATTCTCTGGTGTTATTAACAATGCTTGACATAGGCAAAAAGCAGATTCTTGTAGATTCTACTAGTATTGTTACGTATTATAATTATTCTCAACCCAGATTTTATAATACATTCTATTTTTTCTCTAGTTATTCCAATACTGTCACAAAATCCTCAAGTCTATCTTTACTTTTAATGCCGTTACTTCATATTCATAGAATGTTTTATAAATGTTTAACGAAGTTCTTTCACCCAGTATTTCAGTTGCTCCTCATAAAGCCTCATGTAGTGGGTAAAGCAAATGTTATCCTCATGTTATACCTGCTGGAACTGAAATACAGAGGAATTAAGTGTTCCACATAGCTAGTAAATCAGCTTTCACATCCAGTTATTGTGCAAACCTGCCTCAATTTCTTCCCATGCTTTGGTAACTTCCTTAAAGGTACGGAAATGAAGTTACCCACGAACGTTAGCTTTCTCACCATTTTCAGATGAGGAAAACTGGTTTAACATTTGCTTCCTTACAATTTTTAGTTATAAAAATGTGAATGCAGGCCCTGAGCAAAAAGAAACAAAGCCAAATTCTGTAAAGACCACAAAAGCAACCTTCAACATTATCAATGCTAACCTCTACACACACACACACCCTCTCTCTCATTCCCTCTCACTTTTCACACCATTCTGGGAAATCCTACAAGGTAAACACTCTTTCCCCACCACACACACTGATCTTGAGTGCACAAACCCAGTGGGTCATTTCAGGAGAGTATATTGAAATCTAATACATGCATTGGGATAAAAAACTTAAAACCAAACACTTCTTTGACCCCTCCAGCCTTCACAGTTCCTCAAAAGAGGGTCTATACTCATGCTCTTCGATTAATTTCCTCCAGCTATCCTTTGAATCTGTTTCACTCAGGCTTTTGTCTACTAGGTCACTAAAACACTCGTCAAGGTCACTAACAATCTCCTCATTGCTGAACCCAGTGACCACTGTCAGCTCACAGCTTACCTAACCCGGCTGCAGCGTTTGGTAAGACTGGTTACTCCTGCTTCCCTGAAACACTATCTCCCCTTGGTGACTAGGATAGTCCAATTTCCACCTTACTGACCATTCCCCAGTCTTCCTTATTAAATCCATCTCAACTCCTGACCTCTAAATGTTGCAGTGTTGCTGGCTCAGGGCCTAGATTTCTCTCCCTCCTACCCCCACCCACCCACCCACCCACCAACCCCTTTTTATTACTGGAACAAGTGTGGAGATCTGGCTTCTAGGCCTGGTTTTGCTGCTACGTAGGTGTGTGACCTTAAGCAAGTCACTTAATTTCCCTGTGCCTCATTTTATTAATTTTCACAGTGAAGAAAGCAAGCGAAAAGTTCTCCAAGGTAAATTCCAGCCCTAAGACTCAAAATGCCACATTTTAAAAAGTGTTAATTTCCAAATGAATGATTTCATATTTCTACAAATTGTAATGTTTCTATTACCCTTGACTTACTTTATGAGTTTTTATTTTTATCAAAGTATGTACAGTATGTAGTTTAGAGAGTCAAGTAACAAGGCTTATTATGAAAAACAGCAGCCCACTCAGCCCATTTGTCTCTCCTCAGAGGCACTTAAAAAAGAAACCCTTTAGTCCTATCTAAACGGTTATTCCTGACATCTTACCACACTCCCTCCACATCTTTCTACACACCTTTGCAGCCCACTCAGCCCATTTGTCTTTGTGTCAGACCATCTGAAAGTGGGAGGAAGATGCATGACACACTTCAGTCCTAAATACACTGACCCTTGAACATTGTGGGTGCTAGGGATCTGACCCCCGCAGTGAAAAATCTGAGTATTAACTTCTGACTTCCAAACACTTAACTACAAATAGCCTACCACTGACCAGAAGCCTTATTTACCTATGACTATCAACTAATGCATATTTTGTATGTTACACATATTATATACTGTATCCTTACAATAAAATCTGTTGGAGAAAAGAAAATGTTTTTGAGATTGTTGAAATCTCAAAACAATAGAAAAGAAAATGTTTTTTCAAATTGTTGAACTCTCAAAACAATTTTCCAATATATTTATTGAAAAAAATCCACACATAAATGGACCCACACAGTTCAAACCCACGTTGTTCAAAGATCAACTGTACTTCAGTGTGTATCTTCCAAAAATATCATTGCCTACATAACTACAACATCACTGCCACATCTGAGGAAACTGACACGAATTCAGTAAGATCAATGGGCATCTTTTGCATGGATAATGTTACAGAGCTAGTGTCAGTTTCCTCTCCTCTTTGCTATCTACTCCCACTGCCTTGATGGTCTCAAGTCTTCTCAGGGCTTTAAATAACAACTAAATGCTTATGGCTTCAACTTTGCCCCTTTGGTCCTGCCTTCTCACTGAACTCCAGATTCTGTCTACTTAACCTTTCCACTTACATTTCTAAAGAGGAGTATCAAACTTAATGTATCCAGATCTGAGCTCCTGGTGCAGTCCCAAATCCATTCCTCCCAGTCTCACAAATGGCAACTCCACTCTTCAGCTGTTCAGGCTGAAAACCGAGCCAGCTTTGACACGTCTCTCTCATATCATATCCAATTTCACAGCAACATATAACTAGAATTCCATCGCTTCTCATCTCTTCCCTTGCTTAGGGGCTCAGGCTCCTAAGTAGTAGTAGCCTCAAACTGGGTCTCTCTCCTTCTGTCCTTGCAAATGTTCCCACCCTCACCCCAGAGTATTCTAATACAGCAGCTTCAGCAGCAGGATCACATCACTTCTCTTCTTGAAACCCAACAATTCCTTTTCATCTCACCCAAAGCCAATAACCAATTACCACTGCTCACATGATGCTCCTACATTACCTTTCATCTCCTTCTCTGCCCTTCACTCATTCCACTCCAAACAATTACCCAGCCTCCTAAGGTTCAAACAAGCCAGGCACACTCCTGCCTCAAGATCTCTGGCATTTGTTATTCTCTCTGCATAGAATGCTCTTTCCCTAGAGAGCTACATGGCTCTTTCTCTCAACTTCAAGTCTTTGCCCAAATTATCACCTTTTCAGTGAGGCCTTCCTTGAAGGGCCTACATCTTCTTCAAAGTACTTACTGCCCTACAACAGATTGTGTATTTTGATTATTTATACTTTTTTGTCTCCCCACTAGAATGTTAATTCCATGAAGGCACAGAGTTTTATTTTGCTTCCTACTGTATCTCCAGTGCCTAGAAGACTACCTGGCACATGGTAGGTACTAAGTAAATATCTGATGAATCAATGAATCATATTCTTAAAACAATACAGATTTGTATTGATCCCTAGAAGGTTCATGGCCAACAGAATGCTGAGTAGCAGATGACTAAGAATGCTGATAGTAAATGACAGTACAGACCACTTCCCCATCCATTGGGAATATAATATAAGCCACAAATAATTTAAAATTTTCTAGCCAATTTATTTAAAACAAGTGTAATTTAATTTTAAGGTTTTATTTAACCTATTATGTCCAAAACATTACCATTTCAACATCTGATTCACACAACACACACAAATATATTTTACCATTTTTTCATACTAAATTGAAATGTGTATTTTACGTATAGCACATCTCAGGACTAGCTTTGAATTTTTGAAAATGACAATTTCAAATGTCATAGCTACATGTGGCCAGTGGTTACCACATTGGACTGCACAGATATAGAGACCAAAACTAAATAATCCCATTGTAATGGGGAACATCTTGTATATTTACTGTTTTTAACTTAGCATTCCAAAACAAGGCTCTGGTACAACCTCATGGTTTCCTCATTTTTTCAAAACAGTTTCATTACATATACAATTCAAAGAATAATAGCTTTCATTCTGAGAAACAATTTGTATCAAGATAAATGGCTCAACTCTTTAAATTTCATTCAGATGTTTGATTAGAAAGAATGAATGCCCTTCTTTCTTAGTCTACTCAAATTAAGAAACCTAAATAAATCCAGAAAGTCTATGTTCTTATCTATATTAGCAGGGAAAAAAATCATTATTTTCAAATAGAACTATTAAATTCTATTTCCACAAAACAAACCAGCATTTATTTCAAGTTAACCAAAATACACTTCATTTTAAAAGACCATTTTTGTGTAGATATAGATGCATTTAAAATTTCATAATGGCTGCTCTACCAGTAATATTGCGTTTCATAATATAAAGTAAAATAAAGCACCAAGGAGAATGCTTTAACATTTTTAATACATGCAATTTAGGTCCTCACTATGTCTCTTAAAAAGTAAAGTATTATTTATAGAAAATGTTTCCATTGACTTTTTTTTTATCAACAGGGATATCTTTCAGAAATCTTTTATAAATATTTGCTTATTGAAATTAAAATACTGCTATCATTATTCAACAAAATTTGAAAAACACAATTAAAACATGAATATTTTAAAACTTTAAAGTTAGGAAACTAATTTCTTTCAAATAGTAAAACAAACACAGCAGCATCTACTTACTCAGATGTTACAGGGTCTATTATCCCCCATAAACTGGCAGGTTTGACCTTAGATCATCAGTGAGGCAGAGAAACTCCACATGGTGAAATATCCAATTCTTTTAACCCTGAAAAGCATTAATAAAATGCCTGTGTGAGAAAGAAAACTGGAGTTACAACCGAGATAGTACTCTAGTGAGTGTATCGTCTAGATAGGGAATATCTTGTTGTTGTTTTTTTTTGCAGTGAGGGCTCAGAACAAGTTCATTCATGGCCCTGGAGCCATGGGTGACCTGAGATAGCAATACTTGGTATTACAACTGTCCTTCTGTTTTAAGAAATCTCTTTGGGGAGAAGTCTAAACCAGCACAATAAAATATGCATCTTGTTCTATATATAACTTGATCACATATTTGTTAGTCTGACCCATCAACCAGGAGAATCCTCTATCTCTAACCATGTAATTTATTGCACAAAGATACTTTTGAAAGGGGAAAGGAGAACTTTTGAAATACGTATTTATTAACGAATGAACTGTTTTTATTAGTTTGTAGTCTAAGAAATAAAAATAATTGTACATCTACTACAGCAAAGAAAAAATAAAAGGTTCCTTTCTTTATATTATATGAACTCTTAAAATGGCATAAGCAGATTAATTATTCTTGACATATATTCATGTACTTTAATATGTTTTCATAATAGATTCTCTAATATTGTGTTGTTGGTACTTTTCTGGGGAAAAAAAGGTTGATATGATTCTTATTATTTTTAAATTTTCAAAAAATTGCCACAATCTTTTTCAAAGTTTCATTTTATGTTAAGTAATCTGAAATCACTGACTTCATCAGACTCTTGTGTATTGATACTACTTTAATCAAGAAAATGCTCTTTTATAGCTGCTGATAAACTTGGTAAGCCCAAAGTAAATTCTGCTAAGTAAAGGATATTTTCAATTCTATTTCCAAGCCCAAATCATAAATCTTTCAGTCTAAATATTCTTACAGATACTATCTTTTTGTCTAAACTGGTGTTCTTTTTTCCTACTCTTGTACCCTCCAAATTACTCACCACAACACACTGCAGCAGAGGTAATTTTTTCTCTAATGCAAACGTCTTCGTGTCACTTCCCACATTAAAACTTTTCAATGGCTGATAATTGCTCCTAAGTATAATCCAAAATCTTAACATGGCCTCCAAAGCTCTGTGAGAGCCGGGCCCTTCCTACCTCTCAGGCTGCAGTGGGCACTTCTCAAGTCCTCAAAAGCACCAGGTTCTCCCATGCTCCAGGCTTCTGCATACTGTTACCTCTGCTTGGAATGCTCTTCCTCGCAGACATGGCCATCTTTGTATCTAAGAGACCTTTCAATGCCCATGCCCCCTAGTCTAAATTACACTATGGTATTCTCTCTCTCTCAAAAGTACTTTGTACTTTGCCTATGAAGCATTCTTCAAAACCTGTTATTTACTTATTTGCGTGTTTTTAGAAACCCTATCTCCACCAGATGGTAAAAACTTCATGAGAGGGTGGAGATCATTCCTTTTCAACTCACCTCTTAACCATCCCTTAATTATCATTCTTTACCTAGGACCTACCTCAGTGCTTGGCACCTAGTGAACCTTCAATAACTATTTGGTGAACAAATGAATAAAGGTCTGAGAAGGAGAGAGTAAGGAGACAAAGGACAATCTAGTTACTTAGTCAACTTCTTATCTATGACCAACACTTCACAATCCTAAATCCAACTATATTATACATTATCAGTTTTCCCCCTCTATATAGGATGATTGTCATCAGCATATATACAGTCTGTACTTTCTCCCAACAAGAAAGAAAGAGAAGAAAAGGAATGGAGTGGGGAGGGAAGGGAAGGAGATGGGAGGGAGGAGAAGGTAGGGAGAAAGGAAGAAAGAATGAGGAAGGGAAGGAGGATGGGGGGAGGGACCTTTCTCTTGACCCCACATCCTCATCAGTCAACTCTCCATTTCTCTAATCCAACTTTACAGGACTAACCAAAAGAGGTGACTGTATCTGTTGTCTCCAATTCTTCCCTCCCATTCTCACTTGAACCCATTCCAGTCAGGCTTTTGTGTCCCCTGCTCCCTGAAACCGCTCTTGGCAAAACCACCAGTGACTTTCATCTTGAACTATCCAACAGCCGGGTACTGAGGCAGGCACTTTAAATAAATTACCTCACTCACTTAACAAACAGTGAGTGCATCACAACCTCCCTTCAAGGCAGGTTCCACTATCCCGAGAGATGTTACCTGAATTCATTCAAGGTTATTTGGGTAAAAAAACAACAGAGGAAATTTTTACCAAATCTAATAGTCAATTTTCATCTTACTGGACTTCATCTTACTAGACCTTGTCAGTAGTATTTGACAGAGCTAATCACTCTCCTCTTTCTTTAAACGTTTTCTTTGCATGCTTTCCAGCATACCATGCTCTCCTGACTCTTCCCTCCTACCACACTGGCCATTCCTTCTTACACTTCTCATCCCAACAACTTGCTACAGTGGCCAGGGCTCTCAGTTCCCAAACTTCTTTTCTATCTACACTCCCTCCCCTTGGTCATCTTAGTGGGTCTCATCACTTTATACCACTGGTAAAAGCCGAAACCTCTTCTTTGAACTCACGGCTCTTACTTTCAGTGGATGATTTGACGTATCCTCTTGGATGTCTAACAGACGTTTGACACTTAACACTGTCCTGTGCCAGACTCCTGATGTTCATCTGTCCCCTAATAGTGATGCACCTACAGAATTTCCCATCTCAGCAAATGATAATTCAATCCTAAATCATCTGACTTTTCTTTCCTTCATACCCATCCAATCCATCAGCAAATCCTGTTAGCTCTGTCTTACAAATGTATATGAATTTTAACTTCTCTCTACTTCTACTACTACTGCTATCTGAGCCTCCCTTATCTCCACTGGATTATTCCAACAGCCTCCCAGTTGATTCTTCCCTTGCCTCACTGTACACTGTTATCAAAACAAAAGGCAAGAGTCACATTGATTTAAAATAAATAAATAAATAAAACCATGCCATTTCTCTGCTCAAAACCCAGCCATTTTTTCCCTTCTCATTCAGAGTAAAAGTCACCATAATGGCCTAAAAGGTCCATAACAGGCCCTGGACAACATCTCTTGCTTCATCTACTATCACTCTCTGCCTTGCTCACCCCCCACCCTTGTCCCACTGCCCTCTTGGCTGCTCCCCAAGGATTTGGGCACACTCATGCCAGGATCTTTGCACTTGCTGCTCTGTCTCTACAGAATGTTTCTTCACAGACATTTGCACAGCACTCTCCCTCATCTACTTCAGACTTTTTCTCAACTGTCAACCCATCAGGTGGCCTTTCCTGGCTGCTCTACTTCATGTCACCTTACCTACTGATACCTATTGATACCTCTATTGCATGTAACTCATTACCACCATTATACGTTCTATTCCACTTATCCTGATTTACCTCTTTTTTATATTCATTTATTCATTCATTCATATCACCCCCAGTGGGTACCTTCCTCTCCCTTTTTCTTCCCTCTATGAAATTTAAGCCTCTTAAGGGAAGAAATTTTTGTTTTGTTCAATATTCTATCTCTTCAGTGACAATAAAATGCCTGGTCCATGATATATTTTTATTGAATAAATAAATGTTTGAAAATAATATCACAGGTAGACAATTTAACTCAATGTCCAGACCCTAGTGTTCTTAAAAGAAAGCTCTTGGAGAGCATGGACTAGGCAGTTACGATCAAATTTTGCACAGCAACTTGCACACACACTCTTAATGTAATTTCATCATTGATGATCATTATCTCCCACTGAAATCTTAGTTTTCCTGTATTATATCAATGTTACTAACTTTCAAGACTTAGGTAGATCATAAAAAATATGACATTTTGGTCTCAATTATCAATACCAAACACCCTCAACTTGTATTCCAACTACCCAACTGCTTCATCATTTGAGGAGGGATATGTTTATTAATGCTTTGCCTGTGAGCACTGCCTTGACAAGAGCTACTCTGGAGCTCTCATTATTATACAATTTGCTGCACTCTCTGTAGGTAGACCTTATGACTATACAGACGCTTAAACTGGTCAATGGGTAGTAGAGTAACTGGTGATCTAGTTGTGGCTGTTTCCGTTTTACAAATTCTTCTTTAAATGTCTCAGATATATTTATTACTTGCTTTAACTCTCCCAAAGGCATTTCTCAGCATAGAGGCAAACATTTTCTAGGTTCTTTTTGTGAGTAAGCCTGTCTTTCAAGAATTCCATAACTCTTACCAGCTGCATCAGCCTACACACATTTCTATCTCTAATCCCTGGACTCTAAGCCTCCACCTGGTTCTTAGTGAATCCCATATAAGAATATTTTTAATATCCTTATGTGCTGAACTAAACTGCACAGATAAGACTGGAGCAAGTTGGATTCTGATACAATTTCTCTACTCTTGAATACTGTTAAACCTTGTCTCATTTCACCAGGAAATTCATTTGCATTTTTCCTAAATTGTCATTAACCTATACTTTAATAATCAACTATACATTTTCAACATGTTATTAGAAAAAACTGATGTTGTTTTTCTTTAGTGTCAAAATCAGAATAGATTCCAACATGCCTAAAAATATCTACATGATAAGAGTATAAAAATGGTAGAACTGGATGTATGGCCATCTTCAAGAAAATAAGAGGATGGAGAAGATTTACTAAGTACGTACTATATGCTAGGCATTTTATCTATAATCCTTATAAAAGCCTTGTATGGTATGTTTACATCACCAGACTTCAAAACCCCCTAAGCTGCCTCCCTAAATTTGAGTACCACATGTGTTGGCTAGGTGTGACTCAGTCTTAAGAAGCAGAAGTTATCGGTCAGTTTTTGCCAAAATGAGCAGCTAATAATTAACACCTATGTTGAAACTATTGTATCTGGTACACATGTAAAAATCTATCTTAAACCTACAGGACAGGCTAAAGTGTTTTTAAAATTTCTCAGGTAAGTAGGCCCATAGGATACAAGCATTCTTAAAAGCAATTGCACTACGATGACTATACTTAAGGTTTTTCATGGGGAAGATGGATAGTTTGTTACATGTGGCTCTCACACATTTCAGG